TGACATGATACCAATTTTCTTCCATGTTATAACAAACATGATTCATTTTTATAATTATTCAGGCAAAAAAGTGGCCAAAAGGCCAATGAATTCACTACTATTTTGTCAAATTTAACATTTTAAAATATTTCATAGAAATTATAAAATGAATTTCTATAAAGAAAAGAAAATGACACAAACATATCACAAGGGTATAATAATTAGGAAATATAGAAAAATGTAGGAAAACAATTAATAAAGAACATAAGAGAGAGAAAAGAAAGTGCAGCAAAAAGTGAAACCTATTGAGAAAACCTATAGGAGTGACAAACAAATGGGTAGATGCGTCATGTGTGCCTGTAGTAGGCAAGCTACAATAATGAATACCATACAATCTTCACAATCCATAATAATAAAATCTATGTGAATAAAAAGACATAGTGACATAGAACCATGGGTTTTGAGTCACATGGCTTAATATTAAAACAAAGAAAATATAAAGAGATTATGAGATTGAATATTTTGAATCTTTTTTCTATTTTGACTAATATCCCTTCCTAATGCCACAAATTAAACATGATTATTATAGGCTAAGAAAGAGAAAGTATAATGGTATTTTTAGGAAAGTGCATATAAGAATTATGATATATTACGTTTTTAGTTTTAGTTCAAACCAATCTAATACTATCCTCCAAAATGTAATATGACTTAATGAATTATAGGCATTTAAAGAACCTAAATAAAACATTAACTATTTTGTATATAATGATTTAATGTCAAAAATAAAGAAATAAATAAATTTTTTAAAAAATAATGATTTAATGTTCCTTTTGAATAAGCGATGTAAAACCTATAGTAATTGTTGAAAAAATAACCCAAAGAGGTGGAACAGGTTGGTTAGACAAACTAAACTAGCAAAAGGAAGCAAGTTTTTAGTCTGAATCAGATCGCACATGAGGTGATGAGTTGGATAAATGGGTTGTTGAGTATGATTTGATAGAGCCAATGACCATGGTGAGGTTTATGTCTAAAGAGTCTAGTGTTGTAAATATGAAGCTATAAGTGCATAAGCCAGTATGTTGATTTTGTAGAAACGTTAACTCCTCATATGTCTTGGCAAGAACCAGAGGTTGAAGACAATGAACAGTAAAAGTAACAATATTATATTATTATTCTTGTTTCAGATAAGTACATGGCAGATAGCTTTATAGGGAAAAGAAACAATAGAGTTACACGTGGAGTAGTCTTATTGGTACAGTACACCAACGGGTAAATAATGTTTTAATACATAGTGTCTTAATAGATTTAGCACTGGTGGGTCCATGAGTGGTGAGTATAGAGTCAACGAATGAACATGAGCAAATATTGCTATTAAATGTTATTCTAAAGGCAATGGATATTGGGAGCAAGTGGTTGAGCAAATGGTTGGTGGCATGGTATACCTATTGAATAAAATCTCCTAATATAAAAGTTTGATGCATTCCTGCAAAAAAAAGTTTGAATTTATCTAAGTGGTGGTTGCCCCTCTTTATTGTATTGAGTACTCGATAAAAAGGGGATGGAGGACTCGATAACAATGGAGGAAATGGTTGGGAAAGCACCCACTCTTGATAGGAAGGTGAAAGAGATAGAATTATATATGTTTTGAGACAATAATTATAATTAAAACTTTATATAGATTCACTTGAGATTTAGGTCAAAGAGGATGAGTATATTGCTAATGACTCAACGAATAAGGGAGTAGGGCCGAGTGCACGTACAACTATAAATAATAGATCTATGAATGTCGGGTGTGCATACAGGAGATTTTGAATGGCAGGGTGCATGAGCATTAGGCTATGGGAGTTTATGAGCATGCAAATGCTTAACCTAGTATAAAGTTGTTGTGTGGTAGAAACACAATGACAAACTTGCAAGGATCTTGAATGTAGCAGTTTGACATAAGGTCGTCAAGAACAAGTTTGGCAGCACATGAGTGGGCTAATGAAGGGGCAACCAGTATAACGACCCAAGATCCGTGTAGTGAAAGGATTCATCTGATCGATCATTCATTCTTTTTTTTTCTTTTTCTTTATCCGTTATTCGTATCAATATATACATCCAGAGCCAGAGATAATTACATTACAGAAAAGAAACAGCAGCGGATACAATAATTCACATATAGTACAATCAGAGAACAAACAAAAGAGAGTCCAAAAAAAATAACTACACTAGCCACACATGCTACAAAAGAAAGCCCACCCAAGGCTACAAAACAAAAAGCTGAACTCGACAGAAAGATCTTCAGACTGGAAACCCTGCACCTGAAATATTATGGCATATCTGAAAAAAAATAAAAATTTAAGATATTTTGATTTTAGCTTTTATTTTCTTTTGCTTTTGATTTGATCTTTTCTTCTTTTATGGTGATCCTTTGTTTTAATTTATGTGCGGATGCGTGAGGACAGTTTATATACGATCCTATAAGCTAAAAATATTTAAAAGAGTTTATTCTTATATTAAGCTTCATACATTTTGATGATCACTCCTATTAAGCATATGTTGAAGTTGAAAGATTATTAGAAAGTGGATCTTATTATTCCTTGATAATGATGACCTCATCATAAGAAAATGGCTTAAAGTGAGCACATTTTATATCATAATAAACAGTATTTTCCTCAAACCTAAATCTATGCTATTATCTACTTATATCTAACGCCAAATCATTACAAAGAGACTTATAACTTCAAATTTAGGCTTTGTTTGGAACGATTTTTTTGCTGCCTCTTAATGTAATTTTTTAGAAATTTTTCTAACTAATAAGCTGTTTAAGAAGCAGGAAGAAGCCGTCCCAAACAAAGCCTTAAAGTGACATCAAAAGTCATATTTCCATGTTAAGTTTTCGTTTGGAACCGTGTTCTTATTGCTTTCTAAATAAAATTATTGTACTAAAAAATAGTCTAAAAAACAGTAAAAAAAATTATCCTAAAAGAGTTACCTTTCCCGCGTTTCCGCAACTCATGGTAGAGAAACCCTCACCGTCGCATTCTTTAGGTGGAAGAGCACCCTCATGGGTAAAGCAAATTTTTATTCGTTCCTTTAGAATGTAAATATTTCACAAGAAGAGAAGATAATTTTTTTTTTTAATTTAAGTAATAAGCAACAATAAAATACTAAGGATTAGCATAGTTATGCTAATAGTCCATTAAAGTGTTTTGGAAATTATTTGCAACGACAATGACATGCAAAATGTGGAATTAGATTAATCACCCAATAACTATTTGAAAACTCGGATTAGTGAGACCTTGCAAATATTTAATTGAGAGCCATGCGATTCTATTAAACACAGCGGACGCTCAGTAATATTTAATTTCTATGCCAAATTCTTCGTGAATTTACAAAGCGATGGTAGATTTGTAGATACTCACCGAACTAGGGGAGGCCTGTTAACTAAGATAAACATATAATATTTTAGTATTTTCCCAAGTAATTGCTTTGGACCATTTTTGTTATAATTGAATCTAAATAATTTTAAAATCAGAACAAGGCATATCAAAATATGTAAAAGTATTTAAAATTGATATATCATTAAAAATTTATCTTGATCGGGCACGAATCATTAAGACATTCAAATATCAGTAAACGGTCTATGATCAAGAGGATCAATATCGGTCGTTCATTCAAAACACTCTCAACGTACCCTTGATCTATCTCATATTTACTGATCATCTTTATTTTTTTAATTTTTATTAAATATCATTTTTATTTAACTTTAAATAATAAAATATTTCTTTAATTATTATAAATTTTTTTTTTATTTCTTTAATTATAGAAGTGATATATCATCAAAAAATTATGTTGATCGGGCATGAATCTCGAGGCAAAAATCTAGTTAGAAACTTCAAAAATTAAATCTGGGATCATCTGAATTTCAATTTCAGCAAACTTATAGTAGAACTGAGCGTCTTGGAAATACAAACCCAATGACACCAAATTCAACTCAATCCGAGCCCAAATGAGTCCAATCGAAGACTTGAAGCGCTGTTAGAAAGTTCAAACCACAATTTGGATTACCAAACGGTTTTAAAACATAATATGCTTATAGTTGAATCGAGCGGCTCGACGAGACGAATCCAACAAATCCAATATCTCTAAATTCCGATATCATTAAGACCTTCAAATGTCTGACGAACGGTCCATGAGCAAGGGATTCAATATCGGTCGTTCATCCAACCACTCCCCATTTACCCCTGATCTCTCACCTATTCACGGGTCATGCCATCCTAAAACCAACGGTCCTTCCGACCTCCGTCGCTTGTCGATTACGGTTCTTCCAACTTACATCGCCCACCAACTATGGTCCTTCCGACCAAACGAACCTGTCAACATTGACTCTTTGTATTACCACAATGTAATGTACTTCATATAATGTACATCAATCCAAGGCCTTCCCTCTAAGGAAGGGCCTCATTTATAATCAATTGCAAATACTAGTTTTTTCTCTTTTTCAGGGGTTTTCCACATAAAAATCTTTCTTATCTAATTACATGTCGGATTTTCGTACAACGTTAAGACGTTAAATTCTATATTTCTCTACTGTCACAAATACTCCTAGACGCAACAATAAGCTACTAATTATTATAAATTGGGATACTAATTTCAACTAATTATAAATTAATTAACAAAATTATTATTGATAATAAATTTTATTTTCTAAATTATGAATATCTAGTAAATTAAATTAGATATATATGTTAATCAATTAATAATTTTAATATTAATAATTAATATCGGATTCCATAAAAATTATTAGTTAATTTATACTTAATAATTAAAATTTCTTAATTGTTTTAATAAAATGATGATATATTATTTTTTGATATATTTTATTAGATTAATTATAATTTAATTAGCTTGGAATAAAGAATGAATATAATAAAATATATTAATTATATAAAATTTTTTAAATATTAAAGTAATAAGTCAATTAGTTTATTTGAATTTAATTAAATTTAATTTTTATCATACCCTCTAAGGTTTTAATTAATAAATGCACCGGCCAAGATGCTGCCTTAGGAAGAGTTCTGCGAGCTTGGTTCTCTCTCACCCTGTATTGCTCTCTGCTACTGCACTGCACGCTGTACACCGCCATGGCGGATGACTCCCTTCTCGTAGAGAAGATAACTATATCGGGTGCGACCCTCGCGTCCATCCTCCAACGCTTCTCTTCCTCTCCCGGTGACGTAGACGGTTTGCTCTTTGGTCACTTCATTCGGCTTCCCCCTCCCGATCCCAACGACGACGATCCTTCCTCATCTTACTCCGCCGCTGTTGGATCCACCACTCTCGCTCCTTTCGCCGCTTCCATAACGGGCCACTTTTGCTCTGGCGCTCCCATGACCTTCTACGATTCCGTGGGCCGGATCGATCCCCACTCTGTCCGCCGAGCATCTGATCAAGATCGTCTCCCCATTCTTCTCGGATGGTTCTGCGGCCGCCGCCGTACACATCTCCGTCCCTCCATGCGCGAGATTGCTGTCTCCAACTCCCTTTTCGAAACCCTAACCCCGGCCTCCGCCGTCGACCCGGCCCCGCCTCGGCCCTGCATCTTCCTTCTCCTCTCCTTTTCTTCAACGGAAAATCTAGCCATCCACACCCACGAGTACCGAGGGTTCCATCTCCGAAGAAAGCCCGTTGGCTCTGGTGTGCTTGAGCCAAGATCGCTTCATATTGTGAACATCGGGCCAGATTTCAGGGGACAGTACGGGTCCTTCTCGCCAGATTCTGCACTTCCGTGGATGCCATTGAGAGTTGAGGATGAGTTGGCGCAGAAGGAGACCCTTCGGAGCCTCCAGGACAAGGCAGCTGGGCAGCTATTGTTGGATTCTGCGGCTGATGGGTTTACAATGGAGAGGCTAGCGCATTTGATAGGGCCTGGAGTAGCAGAGTATGCTTCCGAATTGGAGGATTTGTACAGGAATATGCTACTCAAGCTAGAGGGATTGGCAAGACTGGTGGAGAAGAGCTCTGCCAGGGTTCTTGAGCAGGTGCTGTCAGTGTTTTGAATTCAATAGGCATGCCTTAATGCATTATAAAAGTACAAATCAAGTTATATAGTTCTTCATGGAAGTTGACATACTTTTATTGTTATTTGGTTTACAGGAAAATAAAAATTTGAAGATAAGGTGCAGATTGGCAGGGTTGGAATGAGCTTTCTGGCCAGCGTTGTTTTTTTGTAGTTCTGATTGGTAATTTCTAAAGTTCTTGTTTTGGCGGTATTATAAGTTTATTGTTGAATTTAATTGTCCTCATTTTGATTCCATTGTGCAGATTATTGCATCTTTTGATATTTTGTAATTTTAGTTTAATCCCTTAAGTTCCTATTGTTGTTGCTATCATTTGATGTGGTTGTTCGTTGTTTCTATGTGTTCGCTGCTTAGGTTTCTGCATTGCGTATCTTTAATTTGTACTTTTGAGTTTGTTTGCTTGCTTTGTGAATGAACTTTGCTTCTCCTTGGAAATGGTTGAAGTTGGAGCATGAAATCATGGATCACCATTTCTCTGTTAGTTTATAATTTGAATTTTAAAGTATCGCATGTGTTCTGATACCGATAATGCCACACTTCTAATGGAATTAGAAGCATTAAACATCTAAATAGGCTTGTATCATTAGTTTATTCTTCTATTCTATTACCTTCCATGAATCCCATTCTCTTCAACAGTGATTACCTTTAAATTCATCTAATGCTAGCATGTATTTCACATTTTATTGTCCTTATTTTCCTCAGTTTTAAATGGAAAATTTTGCGGAAGAAATGTTTGATTTTCTGTTTACTTTTTGCAGTTTATATTTCCCCACTTTTATCACGTGGATGGAGAACGCAGAAAAGGCTTTTTGAATGTTTTCTAATTTCCCATTTCCACACTAAATTAGGGATAGCAGTCTTTATGTTTGTAAATTCTTTTTCTTTTTCCTGATTATTCTTGATGCCATTCCCAATTAAATGATATGAACATGCACGGTTACCAACTGATGTGAGTTTAAGAAACAGAGTTTACTGTTCAGCAGATAAATTGTTGGTATAAAACGAGGGGGGGATACAACCATAAGCCATCTAGCAAGAGTTGGATACCAATTTTTTAATGAAATTTCGGTTAACATGTTTCTTAAATAAATGAATTTTCTAAGGATGCAACCAGCTCTCCAATAGAATTGTGAATGATCCAATCTCAAGTCAATTAAATCATAATTTAAAATCAGCTCAAAGTCATTTGAACTGATGTCAAGCTGAGATAGGCCTAGCTATGGACTCGCTTAATCCAATCTCAATTCAAGCAAATATTTCCTCATTTCTCTCAATTTGAACATCTAAAGATTAAAAATTGATTTGATTTCAATCTATTCAGCTCTTTAAGTAAATAATTTATCCAACCAACAAATATACAGAAGTCCGCAACCATACATTCCACAAGGCCATGCACCCATAGAAGTACATTTACACATAACAATTCATAGATGCATATGTGTTAATATAAATGGAAATAAATACATAAATATATGAATAGATGCAGTCATTGCATGCATGCTTATATATTATGATCCAATCTCAGGCTGAATTGATTCAACTCAAACACAACTCTTTTAAAGTTCAATTTAAGTTGAGCCTAGCTCAACAGTTGGCTTACTGCTTTCATTTTAAGTTCAATAAAAAAAAAAGCTCTTTAAGTCATCCTCAATTCTCAATAAGTTCCACTCTAATTTTTATAGCACACATCCCACAGTCTCCCTAGGCCCACGCATCCACTTAATAAGACTAAAAGGCAAGTGAGATGCTCGGGCAAGCTAAGCAAGACTTGTTGACTACTTGACCACATGCAACTAGCATGCATCTCACGATTGATTTGATACATCAAATTTTGTGTGATATAATAGTTTGCTAAGTGTTTGCTTATATATTAATTCATTTCTAGCAGACATAAAGAGAAGATGCGGCTTCATTAGGCTTCTTTAAAGTATTGGCCACTTGCACACAACCTCAAAGGTGAATTCAAGAAAATTCATCAAGATGCCAAGTTCCAGGATTGAGTTAGCTTAATGGGTGTTTCTTAGAAGTCATTGTAACATTGTTTGAGTCTGACCTAAAATAAATCCAAGGGTAAACACAGATTAAAGTATTTCAACATTTTAAGTAATTACATTTATGTATAAATAAAAAAATAATTTACAAAATGTTTAAAACTACTGACATGGAAAATAAACTTCATTTGGAGAGCAATGGCTTAGTTTCTATGAGTTTTCCTTATTACAGGAGATCGTTCATATAATCTGTAATGGTACATAAAATCCACAATTATATATATAATTGTTGATCATACATACGATCTGATGTAGAATAATTGTTGGAAGAAGATTTGTTGTAGCTTTTGGACAAAATACCTAAATTTTGGAATCATACATATGATTTACAATCATACATAAAACCACTACAAAATTCAGTAGAATCTGAATTGATTGTGGGTACAATCGTCCAATTGGACACTTTTAGTCTTTTAAGTTGGCAAATTTCCTTGGTTTTTAAGTATAGCTGTTGGAAGGCACTTTATATCTTTATGACGATGAATCAAGTAAATATGTTGATAGTTTGTTTTATTTTTATCATTTTTTGAATTATTTATAATTTTTAGAAGTTTTTTATTTTTTTTGTTTTGAGGCTTACACCTGGATCGACCTCGAGGCTTATGCCTCATCTTGCTAAAACAAAATGCCTCGATTTTTTATTTCACCTATTTAAACCTTGATTAGGAAGATTTGTATGCATGAATGATTTAACTATTGTATTCCTATTCTTTGAAACGATTTATATGCATGCAAGTTTATGTGTGAGTTGTGTGCATAAATAAACCAGAATAAGACTTGCTAGTACAAGTAAAATATTAATCATTAAGCTTAGTAATTATCAATTATAAATCATTAATCTTAATAGAAAAAAAGTCTACGTTTGAAGATGATGCATTTGATAGTAATTCTTTTAAGAGAGTGATGTCGTCATCTTCTAAAAATCTATATCTATTTTGAAAATCATCCTGATTGTTTATGATAAGAGTGTTAGAAGAGAGAACCAATACTAGACATTTACAAGAGATGTTCCCTGGTATATGCTTTTTGTTGATGATATTCTTCTTGTTGATAAGACTAGAGAGGGAGTTGAAAGAGAACTAGAATTATGTAGGTCAAACTTAGAGTCTATGAGTTTTCATTTGAGTAGATCTAAAATCAAATACATGCTGTATAATTTTAGTAATTAGTAATAGTTCTAGTGGGGGATTGTGACTTTGGGCGATCAAGTCATTAATAAGAGTGCACGTTTTAGATATATTAAATCTATTGTTTAAAGTGATGGTGAAATAGATGAGGATATGATTAGTAGAATTCAAGTTGGATGGTTGAAGTGGAGGAATGCATCGGACCTGTTGTGTGTGATAGAAAATTACCCCTCAAAACTAAAAGAAAATTTTTTAAAATGGTTGTGCGACCTGAAATGCTTTATGGCGCAGAATGTTGGCCATTTAAAGAGAAGCAAAAAAGTTAAGTGTTACAGAGATAAGAATGCTCAGGTTGATGAGTGGTTTCACTCTTTTAGATAGAATGTGAAACGAGTATGTACGTGAAAGGCTTGGAGTAGCTCCAGTGGCAAATTAGATTAGAGAGAGTCGCCTTAGATGATTTGGACACATAAAACGTTGACCTTCTGATGACCCGATTTGGAGAGTAGATGTATTGGATTTGGCCTATGTTAAGAAAGATAGAAATGAAATTTAAATAAGAATTTGACTCTTAACAAAACATAATAGAGAAAAATGATTCATGTAACCGACGCCGTATAGTGGAATAAAGGCTTGATGTTGTTGTTGTTGTATACTAATATTCCAAACTTATAGAAATTATCATGAAGATTATGGAACAGACAACATATGAAACAAATAATGAAATGATAAAATTTTAAATGATTCAACCTACCAAAAAAGTTTACCAAATATGCATCAATATCAAGTTATCAACCAAACCATGTAAGACAATAATTGAATAGGCTTCAGTGAAAATAAAAGAAATCCAGAAGGTTCTGAGGATTCTAAATATCAGGAAAAAAGTTTAAACCATACTAAGGCTTCGTTTGTTTTTTTTTTTTGTGCTTTTGTAAAAGACATTTTTAAAAAACATTAGTTCAGAAAATGGAGTTTTCTAACGGAGAAGCACATATAAAAAGCTTTCTCAAAACTGCAGAAAAATGAAAAAAAAAGGAGTTATTGGGAACGTGATTTGATGAACCAAACAACACAAACAAAAAAGCCTCCGTTTTTTAAAACGGAGAAGGCAAAAAACGCTCAAACAAACAAAGCCTAAGAGTAATTCAACTAAACCTGTTCAATATATAGGCTTAAAAGTTCCCTCATAGTACATCAGATGGTTCAAATTCCACCTTTGGACAATTCATTCAACTACATATGCTTTTCCTTGGCTGAATGTGATTGAAACAATCAAAAGATCCCAATGAAATGATTTTTTTTTTTTATCCCAATGAAAAGAATTAAAACAGTACTGATAAACGTTTAATGCGATGATAAAAAGGTTCTATATCAATTTGTTCTAGCGAATCTACAAACATCCATACTAACTTGAGATACCTGAGAATCTTTTATAAGATATTTTGCTGGGAACTCAAACCTACTTGATTAAATATTTAAATTTACTAAAAACAAAAAAAAAAATCCTCACCATATGCAAACATTTTACAACTATGGAGATACAAAGTTTCCTAATATTGTTTATTATGTTTCAGGGAGATGTGATTGAACCTGCTCCTTTCAGCGGTGGTTATTGCTATTTTTTGTTGTTTCAATAAAAAAAAAGGGAAATTCAAGAAGACCCATCTCTCCTTTTTGCTGTACTACCCAGATCCTTATTTAGTTCAAGTTAAATGTATTTTATTTTGTCCGGAAAATTCTTTCATTTCTGCAAATATTATTCCAGAACTGTTTTAAAAGCCATGTGCCCAATCTAGAGTTTTTCTACCCAGACTCGTTATTGTAGCTTTTAGTTTGCGAGTTTTGTTTTGTTTATTTATTTTTTGTTCTGGGAAGTTTTTTTTTTGGTTCATTTTTGTATGAAGAAATGTAGATTATGCTAAGGAAGTCACGCTTTTGCCGTTGTGTTTGCTGTTTTCATCTTCTAAAGCATCTGAAGTTTCTAAGGTTATTAAGCCTTCGTTTGGGACGGCTTTCTTACTGCTTCTTAAAGCAAATTTCTAGTAAAAAGGTTTAATTTTTGTACAAAAAATTATTTTAAGAAGCAGTAAAAAAGCGGTCCCAAACGAAGCCTAAGGTTTCATTTGGGAGGGCTTTCCTCCTGCTTCTTAATGCAGCTTTTTAGTACAATAGTTATAATTTATTAACTAAAAAGCTGCTTTAAGAAGCAGCAAAAAAGTCGTCCCAAATGAAACCTAAGGCCTCGTTTGGGATGACTTTCTTACTGCTTCTCTAAGCAGTTTTTTAGTATAAAAATTTTAATTTATGTATTTATAAATTACTCTAAGAAACAGTAAAAAAGCAGTTCCAAACGGAGCCTAAAACTGTATTCGGGATGACTTTCTTACTACTCAAAGTAGTATATTTTGTGTTAAAAAACTGCTTTAAGCAGTAAGAAAGCCATCTCAAATCAAGGCTTCGTTTGGGACGGTTTTTTTATTGCTTTTTCCGTTTTAGTACAATTTTTTTTATTTTTGTATTAAAACTTCGTTTTATAAAGCAATAAAAAAGCCGAAGCCCTAGTCTTAAGACTTTCGCCATTATGCTTTTTTTCTACACCGTTTTGGGAAAAACATGCAGTACTTTGGGGTAAATATTACTTATTTTCGGTATCATATTTCTCCTTCACTCTTTAATTAACGTGCAGTGATCAAGTATTTGATAGGCATATTACGTATTACGTGTTGCTGTTCAGAAACAGAATTGTATGTGCGAAATATATATTAATTGTTTTTCTCCATCAATCTTAAACAAAGTTCTTCATATAGTAAGCTTTCTCATTTTATTAAATTTATTATAGTTATTTAAAGGAACTAACATGAATGAAGTAAAATAACTGCGTGAATGCAATTACCATTCTTGTTATAGATGATTCACTGGAGATGTTAGTGAAGTGATAACCTTGTTAAGGTAATGCTTTAGACATGCGTAGGGGTGTAAGTGAGCCAAACCGGCTCAAGCTCACGATTTTAGTTTGATGTAGAGCCCGCTCGGCTTGTGAGCTCATAAGTCTACTTGAATCATTATTTATTATTTTTAAATAATTTTACTTTATTAATTAAACTTAAATATTTTAAAAAATTAATATGAATCTCCTAAGTTTTATTTAAATGTTAAATATTGCTTCTTCTTTTTTTTAATTTGCTTTAGTTTTAAAAATTCTATTTATGTTTTAAAGATTTTGCCTAAATTTTAGAAATCGACCATGGCTCATGAGCTGGATCAAGCGTTTATAGTGGGATGAGCTCGAGTTTGAGCTCTCTTTCATATTGATGAGTTGAGCTTGATGAGGCCTAAATTCGACTCTACTCATTTAAACCCTTAGCATTTGATTTCAAATTAATACAGGACTTAAAATCTAATCAAATCAAAACTAATTGCTAGATATAAAATCATTTTTAGCCCATATTTATAACAGGTCAAACCAAGCCTAAACGGCAAGTTGGATTCAATTTTTGGTTTAGAGCATAATTATCTCAAAACAAGTTGAGCTTTTAATTAGTTTGGAATTAAATAGCTTTCAACGATGTGATTTGAAAGTCTTATTCTAAACTGAATAAAATAGGCTATACATGTAGTAAGTGCTAACAATAATATTTAGGGAGATTTACATACATGCCACTTAATACTATTTTATTTACATATTTAACACCTAAAATTTTAATATTACATACATATCACCCATAGTTCATTTTCATACCAAATATGAGTGGTAGAAGTGGTCTCTATGAGGAAATAGACATCAACAAAATAGGAATTAAATAAGAATTTGAAGATGATGAAAATTTAGGGAAAAACGTATAGAAAGGCGGTTGTTGAGCCACACTCAAAACGTTTGGTAAATATCTAAAATTATGTCTAGCATTTACTTCTGATGAATTATACAAAAATATATATAATTATTATTATTATTTTTTACTTGGGGCCATTGCTCACAAATATAGATGAAAATTTGCAAAGTAAAATTGGTAGTCGTCACTAGCTTGAAGATGAAGATAAGCACAAACCTTTACCTAAATCCATAATTATTTCATTCTCCATTGGAAAAGCTTGCTTACCAGGAACATGAAGAACATGGGAGGAAAATTTTAGGCCGCTAACCGGTCTAACTTGGATCGGTTCAGGTTTATTGTCGCAGGGGGGGGGGGTTTGAACCAAGGGAGATGGGGTTGGATGGCTTAGTGGGCCCAAGTCATTAATGTAATGGGTATTTAGGAGAAAAAATTGAATTAGAGGGTTATTTAGGAATTTTGTACGACTCCTTTGCTTTAATGCCGCTGGGGGGTGGGGGGGTTGAACCAAGGGAGATGGGGTTGGATGGCTTAGTGGGCCCAAATAATTAATTTAATGGGTGTTTAGGAGAAAAAATTGAATTAGAAGGTTATTTATGAATTTTGTATGTCTCCTTTGCTTTAATTAGGAGTTAATCATAGAATTAGGGCTTCATCTTGAATTTGGAGAGAAATTTGAGATCTAAGGTTTGTGTTCTTGTGCTCTAAGCTTGGCTAGATATTTGAAGAGCTGTTTCTTCCTTTCGAATTGAAGAAACTTGCACCATTTACTATTTTCTTACATCTATTAGTGGATTTTCCCATTGTTTCTCTCAGTTTTTTCTATTTTCATAAGACAAACTGTTGTAATTTGCTGTTTGACTGCTGTAAACAATAATTATCTTCACTATTTTCCACCAGATCTTGTTAGGTTTGTTTGCGAACTCAAGTATTACCCTTGGGTTACTTGCAAACTCAAGTACTTCTTATCAGAAAACAAACATGGAATGTTAAAGATGAACAAATAAGAAGTTAAAAAGAAGAAGAAGAAAAAAAAAGCAGTATACTTATATTTAGCAATGAAACAAACACAAGGAAACTGGAACAATCATACTTCAATAATAGGAAAAGAAGATTCGGGAGGAAATTGTGCCTGCAAAATTTCAAGAGAACTCTACAGATTACAACAGCATTTAAAAAAAAAAAATTCCTACTCTCAATCTACAGAATTTATCAGAGCATTCAAAGGAGGTTCAAACTAGAGATTTTTATTTATTTATTTTTTAGCTTGAAACCAGAGATATCCTCCTTGCTAATGTAAGCGCTGTACAGTCTACATTGGTATCAAATGATCACAATAAACTCCAGTAAAAGAAGGTAGATAGATAGATGACCACCATGCACTCACAGCACAACTGCTGAGAAGCCGCATCTCCTACCCACAGCCTTCAAACCGCTGTCATACCAACCATATCCGTTATAACACTCAACCTGTTCAAAACAGCACCAGAAAAGTAAAAAAGAATAGACTACTTATAATTACGAGGGATTTACATACATACCACTTTATTTCATACTATTTACATATCTAATACACAAAACTTTAATATTACATTCCTACCACTCATATAAAATTTCAATATCAAATATATCGCTTCTACGTTTCATTCTTGCCACTCATACCACGCTATAAACTTTAGGGGGATAAACATACATTTCTGGTATGAGTGGCAAGAATGAAATGATCACAATAAGTATGTAATTAATATTAAAGTTTTAGGTGCTAGATATGTAAATAGCATGAAATATAGTGGTATGTATGTAAATCTCTCTATAATTAAATAGTACAAAATATCAGCAAGAACTCATGCGGAATCATTGGAAGCGTACAGTTTCTACAAAATTTTCACCATCTTTTCCGCCGATGATGAATAAAGAATTGCCGAGAACTGCTGCTGAAGCTAATCCTCGATTAGAGTTCATCGGTTCACAGGCCATCCAAGCGTTAGCACGAGGATCATAAACTTCAACACTTGATAACATTCTGTCCCCATCATGGCCACCTATGACATGTCTAATCAAGCAATTTATAGGGTTAGATAGGCCAGATTTACATGACTAATTAAACGTAAAACTTTCAGAGCAGATTTCTCGAGCAAAAAATGTTGAAAAGCTCACAGCTTCTCATCAAAAACTGCCATTGAATGGCCTTTCCTCCTGGTTTTCATGTCTTGTATTCGGGTCCAAGAAAACTCTCTTGGGTCATGTCTTTCAGCTGACCTGAACAGAGGAGAAAAATTTAGGTTTATCTTTATTTTGAATCAGACAATAGAATTTTATAACTAATATAACTTTAAAGTAGTTTGAACTTAAATTTGTGAACAATTTATAAATGGGATTGGATGGATGTTATTCGTAGAAGAAATAATAAATTATGAAGGAAGATTGAAATAATTGCATCCCCACTATTGTCTCTATGTCTCACCGTAGGCTCCTCTCATTCCCATATGACTCATCTCTATTTCCTAATTCCTCTCCTATGACTACCTACCTGTGTGTGTGTAAAACAAATGTGGAATTCTCTCTCTTTCGGTTACCCTCTCTCCTCTATTGCAGATTCTCCTACAATGAAGAGTTTTATTTCCAGGACAACAGAGTACTTGAAACTTCAATTCCGAACTCTCTCATGCGAATCCATCCTCTTGGCTAATTTCTATTTAACTCTTCCTCTAAAAGATGAAGAAGAAGATAAAGTAAGGTGATCATCATTAAGATCCCATCAATAAATTGGTATAAGACTATTTCATTTTCCACATCATTGACATTTGGTATCATAACCAAAAATTTCTTAAAGGTAATTGTTTCTAAACCCTATCCACCCCATACAAATTTGTTTACCTTAATTATCACCCCAAAATTTTATGATCATTCCATTGGGATTATTGACCCTTGCCATATCATCATAAGACTATCATTAGTAGCAAGTTACACCAAAATTTTCTCTAGATGTTCATACAATGTTAGTGGCCATCTAATACATATATGCTAAAATGGTCCCCTATTTTGACTCATCTAAGGGAACCTCCTCTCACTCCTGTTTGCATGGCATTCTTGTAGCTTCGACTATATTATTTCAGCCAATCTACTATATATATTTTGTGTTGTAAATTTATTGCTCCTCTTGCAAAATTTTTGATAGTAAGTTCTCAGATTGTTAAATCAAACAATCAAGCGCAAGAAGTACAGCCAAATGTACATTTTTTATCTTCTACCTGCTAGTGGATGGTCCTCTTTCATCAGATCAGATTTGTGCTCAGAACTTGGAATCAAGTTTAGGTTTCATTTGGGATGGCTTTTTAATGCTTCTTAAAGCAGCTTTTTAGTATAAAAATTAAAATATTTATACTAGAAAGCTACTTTAAGAAGCAATAAAAAAAGTCTTCCCAAATGAAGCCTTAGACTCTCCTTTGGAACTATAAGCTATTTTGTTAACCCCTACTATCCCCATAGAGTTGGTCACTGAGATTGATCCACCTTAGCTTACTCCAATTTGTGAACATAATGATGATCATGATTCTCTGAATCTTTTTAATTTAGATTAGAGCATTTAAAGTGCCAATACTTTACTAGATAAGATGTTTCAAATCCTATTTATCAGATAAGTTAGGAATAAAAGAAAATCTATAGCCAATTCCTGTGTTCACAAGACTATACATAAGATGATTCGAGTAAGTATTTTTATAGTTTTCATAATCTATAGGATATTTCATTCTTGGTTTTCATGTTATTTTTCTATGCTATTGTATTTTTCTCTTTTCATTGACAATTCTTAATAATTGTCTTTATTGTACTTACATCATTATCTGATTATAATATTCTACTTTAGACAAAAACTGTCATTATAATACTAACAAAAATGCAACTGAATCTTTGTTTCAAACTAATATTTGAAATCACATATTTTGGAGGTTGTAAATTTTGCAGAAAATATCAACTGATCTATTGTTTCTTACGAGGGTTTTCTTTGGTCATGGTAAGCATAACCCACTTGTCATTGACTAACTTAAAAGAGAAAAGTGGCAAAGTAAAGAATTTTACTTCAAGCAACGTTGTCCATCAGATCCTCCAACTGCATACAGCACGCCCTGTAATTCAGCTGCAGCAAGATCGTACCGCTGGGGAAAAAACGAATGGCAGTTTTGAATTGATCAAATAATGTTCACCTTCTAGATGCACAGTTAAGAAAAATAGCTTGCTTGAACAGGAGAAAAAAACATTTTATACTTAATTAATTTGTTCCTGAACCATATAAAATAATAAGCTAGGTTATCTTTATTAATACGGTTTTATTAGCTTTATTTTCTCACTGTAGTTTCTGGACAAAACAGGCAACCTACTTCTACGTGGAAGAGCACCATCTTTTTTTATGTGAAAAGAGAGAATTTTCCACGTGATTTTCTTTTTACTTATTTTCAATCATGGAACATCCAATTGACAAATTGAGACCATTCACCTTAACTTCATCAGAATCATTAGTATAATGCAAAAGTTCCAAAAATTTGAAGAAAATTTGGTCATGTATTAAATGCAAATGTAACACCCTAACAGATAATCTAAATAGTAAGATAAATGACTCTTATTTCAGGCAGTACTTAAAACAAATGAAATTCTTTTAGCATGTATAAAAAGACAGCTAAAACCATTTTAATGGATTGGTTTTTAAAAAAAATTATCTAGAAATAATTTTAGGGAGAAGTATTACAAGTCTTATATTCCTTCATCATCTCTTATCATTAGTCATATCCTCAAGAAAATTAATCAAATTAAATCATCAAGTTGTTCTTAGGTTGTAGATCAACACAACAATCTTAATCTTACATTTGAAGTAGTGTAGTAGAGAACCAATATATATATATATATATATATATATATATATATATATATAGACACTCTAAAAAATCAAAATCATTCAATTTTATTCCACTTTATATTCTGGCCACTAACATTGAACAAATGATAGAAAAATATTGTCTTAAATTTGTAGATAGTTTGATCATTTTTTATTAAAAAAATCAAATATGTGAGGGTAGAATATGACCTATTACATACATGTACAAATAAAAAGATGGTAAATTATTAAGGTTATATTTGGGCCAGCTTTCTCCCTATTTTACTTTTAGACTACCACCATACTTCCTTTGGCTACTATTTTCTTTCTATTTTTTTGCTGCTTTTAAAAAAATTTTGTGGTAAGAAGCTGCGTTTCAAAACCATATCTATTAATGTGTAGTAATTATAAGAAAGGTATTGTTTGAATTTAAATAAAAATAACATATTCTTAATACCCACAATAAATTAAAAAAAAAATCACTTAACTCATAATAACATCACAGCCATCATTACAAAAGGTTATAGTTGTCCCAAACATATCCTAAATTAATAAAACTAAGCTTATGTTTGTAATGAAATATATAAATTCACTTGAAACATGTTCTAAGATCATATATTTGATATTATGATTTTAATTTTGATGACAATTTGATCATTTTTTATTGAAAATATTAAATATGTGATGGTAGAATATGACATTAAATACCTATATAAATCAAGAGATAGTAAATCATTAAATTAATAAAACTAATATTATGTTTGTAATAGATACCTGAAATAGAATATTACACTTTGATTTTATCACAAATATTAAATGAAACATGTTCTAAAATCACATATTTGATAATTTTCAAGTGAAATTATCAAATCGTCATAAGAGTTGTAAAAATAATAAATTTTCAATCATTTTCAAAATATTAGTGACTAAGCTATAGATTAAAATAAAGCGAAATGATTTTTAGAGTTCTTTACTTTTTTCTTTGATATGGGTGGTATTCAATCCTAAGATTCTGATGCAATCTAGGTTCTAAAACAAGTAGGAGAATAATAGGAATGCAATTGACAACACTTCCTTTCAATATAACATAAACATACAAACATATTGGAAACTAAGTAGGAAATGAAACTTAGAAAATTGATAATAAGGCACATAAAATAACCAAACAACTAAATTAAAATACCCTCATAACAACCTTGTAAGGTCACCTCACATGCAAATCACAAAAATAGAGAATGGTGTTCAAAGGAAAAATTAAACCAGTGGTTCGTCACGGAAATTGTGATCCAACTCAAGTTGGCGCTCCTCTGGCAAATATCAACAAATGGGGTACAACAACGCCTTACACCCACAATATTTGGAGAAGAAAGATACAAGTGAAAGGGAAACCATTGAGAGAAGAAATAGATAGAAGACGCAGAAGAAAAAATAGGTGTAGGAAGAAGATATCTCTCAAGCGAGGAAGAAACCCTCAGGTTTGAATTTGTTTTCACCCACAACAACATTTTTCAAGCAAATCAGCCATATTATATTGGAGAAGAAGCCCATAATTGCCCACTTAAATGTGCCACCCAAATAGCCAATAGAACCCAATCAAGATAACCACTTAATGGGAAGATAAAATACTAGTCTAAGAATCAACAATGAGGGGACTTGAACGGTCAGCAATAGGGAAACTAAAGCCCAGTTGGGAAAACCAAAGGCTAGCAAGGAAACCAAAGCCAATATGGAAAACCAACAATAGGGAAACCAAAACTAGCATGGGGAATACCAAGCAGCTAGCCAACATGGGAAGAAATGGGTAAAGCCCAATAAGAAAAAACAACCCAAAATTAAATGCTCATTTAGCCACCAAGGAACAAGGAAGCAAATTCAATATAAGTGGAAAGACAATCGAGTAAAATCACTTAAGAGTACCAAACCCAAGCATAATCATGAGTTGATTTCCATCATAGGGCAACACAAAACATAATATATAAAAAATAACATATTAAAAAATTACATAGCATTCAAAACAAAGGAATAAAATATAAAATGATAATCCTTGATTGCATCATATTCTGACGATAACTTATAAAATTTTTATCAATTAAACTAATTGACACTTAGTAGTCTTTGTGTGTGTATGCATATATTTATAATCATATTTTATCATTCAGCTCCCTCACCTATGGAATGTTACTAAAGGGACAGTTCTAAATTTGCCTTCCTCCATTTTTAAAATGTGTTTTCCTCATAATCAGGTGTTGTTGTGCCGGTTACAGGACTTGTTGCTAGCGCCTATGTGATTTCTTAGCCCCAAATAGCCTCCTTTACCATGGTCCGCACTAGAAACATTATTTCATCTTCTCCCTTTGGTTAAAAAAATCTGATGCTTCATATATTAAACCATTCCTCAAAGCTCCTCAATAAATAGTCTATTTCTACAATGAAATTGAAAGATCTAGTTTTTTTAATGAAATGAAAGCAATCATCTTTTTCGATGAATAAGTGTATCAAATGGAAAAAATCACTTCATTCATCCTCATTGAAAATTTTTCTTCCAGCCGCCCACTGTGGATGTTATGCCAAGATTTTTTGCGAGACATAGGGTTTGTTTGAGGATGCTTTCTCACAACTTTGCTTTCAAAATGTTGTCATGTTTTTGCTTGGCTACTGCTTTCTAGAAATTTCAATAGCGGGAAGTTTTTTACAAGCTAATACATGTTAGCTGTAAAAAAGCTGCTATTTGACTTTTCAAAAAAGAATATATTTATAACACTCAATGCAACTTTCAAAAAAATTATTTCACTACAGCTTCACAACCGCCTTTATCAGAAGTTGTAGTCGCCCAAACAAACCCTAGGTAGTTGGGTGGTAGCTTTTTATAAAGATGGTTCTTAAGTGGTTGTTGGGAAAGTAATTTTTTTTTTAAGTTCTAGTGATTATTAAAAATATGTTCGTTTTCTAAAAAGACTGTGGGCTCCAAAAATTCGGCCTCGGCCTCCGCTCGCTTGTGTGCTTTTTTTTTTTTGCAAGAGAGTTTTAACGGAATAAGTTCCGGGGTAAAATTTGGATGGCAGATGGGTTTGTAGATAAGACACTACCCAGAGATTTCGCCCTCATTTTGTGAGGACTTTATGATCTGAGTTCTGGTTTCCTATAGGCACAAGCCCCTATAGTTAATTACCCCTCCCTATAATGGGAGAGAACTTTCGATCAAGGCTAGTCGTAGATCAGATACGTAGAGATGCATGTTATTTGGCATATAGTAGCAGCATGGGATTGGATCTGAAAATTTTGGATGTTTGGAAATTTGGGTTGAGATATTTGAGGATTTTGATACTTAAAATTGAAAATTTCAATATTTTGCACTTAAAGCGGATGGTGGGGGAATGTATGATAGACCCGATCAAGATCCCATGGTTCCGTCGTCCCGGGCCATCATGATCCATGGTCTACTTAATCAGAGGAGGTAGTCGACCCAACCTGACAAAAGGATCCTTGTCGGCAGCCATGGGTTGCTTTGTTCAAGGGTACCTTGAAGATCTGGGGTGAATATTTGCCTAAGGGGACAAATTTGAATCCACCTTAGCGAACAGAGGGCTTTGTGCCGTATCGATCATATCTTATTAATTCATATATCAAGGATTAGATGCCACTAAGGAGCGTATTGGCTCTAGCCATAACCAGTATTTCGTGGTGCCATTTGACGGCAAACACACTCAGTTCAGAGGGCCCCGAGTCATAACAGTTTATCCTGCGGTGCCATTGGGCGGCAAAACTGCCGATGAGATGACACGTATCACGTCCTTATTGGTAGGAGACTGTTTGAGAATGGATCCTAGTGATATTTTCGACTATGCATTTAGCTCTATGTGAGCTGAAGTAAATTTTAATTTGTCCATCTCGGCAAATTGTTGCGGATGGTGGATGAATTTTGCTTTAGGTGTTTTGATGGTTGATTTCAAATTTTAATTATTGTTTTGGATTTTTGGATTTCTAGTATTCTTTTGGATTTTGAATATTCGAGATAGCTCATCCGATTGAGATTTTCGTTCAACACGGCCACCATCGGGGTGACGTTAAAGTCACTTCTATTTTCGTAGGAATTTGAATTTTGTGAAAGTTAGGAGGCATTTGAAATGGTTTGTCAACCCCTCCAATTGAGATAAACATTCAACACGACCATCACCGGGGTGAAGGAGGTCATTTTCATTTGTGTCTTAAACCTTGTCGACCCTATCAACTTGCTGATAAGGGATCGGGTTTTATAGGCTTTGTGCCTTTGTGGAATGAATCTTCTTG